TGTGTAGTGATAGTCCCTGTTGTACCTGACCCACACTGTGTAGTGATAGTCCCTGTTGTACCTGGCCCCACACTGTGTAGTGATTGTCCCTGTTGTACCTGGCCCACACTTTGTAGTGATAGTCCCTGTTGTACCTGGCCCACACTTTGTAGTGATAGTCCCTGTTGTACCAGACCCACACTGTGTAGTGATAGTCCCTGTTGTACCTGGCCCCACACTGTGTAGTGATTGTCCCTGTTGTACCTGGCCCACACTGTGTAGTGATAAACCCTGTTGTACCTGGCCCACACTGTGTAGTGATAGTCCCTGTTGTACCAGACCCACACTGTGTAGTGATAGTCCCTGTTGTACCTGGCCCCACACTGTGTAGTGATTGTCCCTGTTGTACCTGGCCCACACTGTGTAGTGATAGTCCCTGTTGTACCTGACCCACACTGTGTAGTGATAGTCCCTGTTGTACCAGACCCACACTGTGTAGTGATAGTCCCTGTTGTACCTGGCCCCACACTGTGTAGTGATTGTCCCTGTTGTACCTGGCCCACACTGTGTAGTGATTGTCCCTGTTGTACGACCCAGGTTTTTGCTCTATTGTGATAGTCCTGTTTTTGGCATTATTTTATTAAATTATCTCCCGGCCAAACATGTTCATGAGTGTGTCAGTTGTTCATTGTAAATTGAGATGACTCAGAAAAAACAATTATTTCCACTGTTTTAGTGAACATAAAGCCTATGAAATATCTTCAGGCAATTTTACAGATAGTGGGAAAAAATGTATTTTATTCAATTAGATTTAGAATTTCTCCCATTGGGCATATTGCTTAAATATTTGTAGGTAAGGTATTCAGGGCTTTTACTTATTTTGAATATATTATATGTTGATAAATGTTGATGGGACAACACTATTTGACATTTATAAAACAAACTGAACAGTCATGTAGAGTTTTACAGGTAAAAATAAAATAGGATCTAGATAAACTGATATTATAGAAAACAGGGACTGCCAGTCTACCATTTGGGGATATACTATTGATAGTTTTCTCCTCCTTGTTTTCTATGTGGATACTATTTCATCAAATGTGTACTTTTGATAGGTTTCAACTCTTATTTGTTCCTGTCTCCAGTTACTAAGCATCTGGACTACTATGTACATTGATGTTTACAGTACCCTATTGGACCTTTAATGTCTATATTTATAGATAGTGTTGAACCTCCTGTCACAGTAACCTATATACAGTGACCTCCAGTCTCCAACAGTAAAACTAAACCTGCTCCAGTAATCCCCTGTATACAGTGACCTCCTGTCTCCCCAACAGTCACACTATACCTGCTCCAGTAATCCCCTGTATACAGTGACCTCCAGTCTCCACTACAGTCACATTAAACCTCCTCCAGTAATCCACTGTATACAGTGACCCCCTGTCTCCCCTACAGTCACACTAAACCTGCTCCAGTAATCCCCTGTATACAGTGACCTCCAGTCTCCCCTACAGTCACACTAAACCTGCTCCAGTAATCCCCTGTATACAGTGACCTCCTGTCTCCCCAACAGTCACACTATACCTGCTCCAGTAATCCCCTGTATACAGTGACCTCCAGTCTCCACTACAGTCACATTAAACCTCCTCCAGTAATCCCCTGTATACAGTGACCCCCTGTCTCCCCTACAGTCACACTAAACCTGCTCCAGTAATCCCCTGTATACAGTGACCTCCAGTCTGCCCTACAGTCACACTAAACCTGCTCCAGTAATCCCCTGTATACAGTGACCTCCAGTCTGCCCTACAGTCACACTAAACCTGCTCCAGTAATCCCCTGTATACAGTGACCTCCAGTCTGCCCTACAGTCACACTAAACCTGCTCCAGTAATCCCCTGTATACAGTGACCTCCTGTCTCCCCTACAGTCACACTAAACCTGCTCCAGTAATCCCCTGTATACAGTGACATCCTGTCTCCCCTACAGTCACGCTAAACTTGTCTCACAATAACCACAATTAACAGTGACCTTCACTTTCCTACAATCAAACTAAACCTGTTTCAGTGACCTTCACTTTCCTACAATCAAACTAAACCTGTTCCAGTGACACATCATATAGTGACCTTCACTTCCTGCAGTCAAAACAAACTTAGTCACATCACTTAGAGTAAAACCAAAATGTCTCAGTTTGATTCAGTAAGACTTGGAACTTCCTCTTCTAAAAACTATACATAATCCATTAAAAAATGGTTTGTCTGGTATAACCTTCACTTATTCCTTCCAATTCTGTTTATTTGAAAGAAAGGTTGTAGAATGACTTAGTTTTGAAATTTGTATCAAGGAAATGTTTGTCTAAACTTAACTTGAGTTGAGATGGAGTACAGTTGTATTAATTGACCAGAGTCATGTCCTGACCAGCTGAGTCGATCATGTGGGCGGCAGTAGGTGACGATATGGTAGATGATGGTGATGTTTGCTGCCTTGGTGATGGATTGCTGTGTTTAACAGGGAAACACTAGATTTGTAGAGATCTTACTGATAACAGCACCTATGTTGTCCTGATAAATCATGATAAATCATTGATATCCTGTTTTGGGGTATTTGTGCCAGGATAATTCATTCATTGATACTGATGTCTTTGTTTACACCTGTCTTTACATCAACACAGCCATGGAGGTTCTATCATGGCTGTCCCGTAGAAGACTATTGATTGTTTTGTTTCCTCTAATTTAAAACTGAGAAAGCATCCTTGACTCTTGAACTAAATCATGTTTTACATACCATATTTTTTTAAGAAGCATTATAATTTTGATGTCTAGTCAGTTTTTCATCAATCATTTATCTGGTCAGATCATAACATCTATGTTGATAGCCTGTAATTTGCTTTGTTCAGTCATTGTGTCCTCCCCATTACTTACGGTAAATGTGCTTCAGTTGTGCTGATTATTATCAACATGATTGATACACTGTTAACTCAATTTAAATTAACAATTTTTCTATGAATAAATTTGAAATATCAACTTCTTTGAAATTACCATGTAATGATAAATGAACAGAAATGTTTTCATTTCAATCTTTGAAGAGGAAACTTTACAAAAAATTCACATTTTAGATGATTTTACCACCCATAGGTAATTTATGAATCATCTCATTCAAACAGAACTTTCAAACAGTGTTTGTCAAATTAAATATACACATGTATAAGCTTGGTGGTACTTTTTTACCACTTTGTGGTGTGAGGGTTACTTGTTTCAGACATCCTTTAGTACTTAACCAGAACACGAGTCATAGACCAAGGTCAAGTCTTAATTTCCTTTTTATGAATTATCCCAAGTTTGCACGTCATGCCCTTACTTCCTGCATGTCTATGCAGTGTATCTGTAAAATATATATTGTATATAGGTATAGTGGTCAATTATACAGGTCCAGCAATGCTGCCGAGATAAGTAAAAATATAAATAGTTGTCAGCAAAGCTGATGAGATAAGTAAAAATATATATAGTTGTCAAGTATATAGGTCCAGCAAAGCTGATGAGATAAGTAAAAATATATATAGTGGTCAAGTATATAGGTCCAGCAATGCTGCCGAGATAAGTAAAAATATAAATAGTTGTCAGCAAAGCTGATGAGATAAGTAAAAATATATATAGTGGTCAAGTATATAGACCCAGCAATGCTGCCGAGATAAGTAAAAATATAAATAGTTGTCAGCAAAGCTGATGAGATAAGTAAAAATATATATAGTTGTCAATTATACAGGTCCAGCAATGCTGCCGAGATAAGTAAAAATATAAATAGTTGTCAGCAAAGCTGATGAGATAAGTAAAAATATATATAGTGGTCAAGTGATATATAGTGGTCAAGTATATAGACCAGCAAAGCTGATGAGATAAGTAAAAATATATATAGTGGTCAAGTATATAGACCCAGCAAAGCTGACGAGATAAGTAAAGATATATATAGTTGTTAAGTATATAGGTCCAGCAGAGCTGATGAGATAAGTAAAAATATATATAGTTGTCAAGTATATAGGTCCAGCAGAGCTGACAAGATAAGTAAAAATATATAGTTGTCAAGTATATAGATCCAGCAAAGCTGATGAGATAAGTAAAAATATATATAGTTGTCAAGTATATAGGTCCAGCAGAGCTGATGAGATAAGTAAAAATATATATAGTTGTCAAGTATATAGATCCAGCAGAGCTGACAAGATAAGTAAAAATATATAGTTGTCAAGTATATAGGTCCAGGAAAGTTGTCGGTAGTGATGTGAGATGTACTGATACACTGATATATCCTGTTTGCGCTCATCAAGGAAGTTAAGTGAATAAATGTGTTGGGTCTGTTACAAGTTAATGTTCCTGGTTGACATATACAATGGAGTTCAAACGTTTGTCACTCACTTTCTTGATGTTGTGAGAGTGGTAAAAAGGTGTATACATGTAATTATGTAGTCTATGGTCACTGGAATCTACATTTATTTGTTTTATAGACATGGGTCACAAGGATAGATTTGTTATAGGTCACATAGATAGATCTGTGTTTTTTTTAGACTTGTATTGTTGTCAGCCCTGAAAGTGTGTAGGTATTGGATGTACAGTGTATGTTACACTGTAACTCTCATAGTTATGTATACTGCCTAATGCAGTCTACAGAACTTTGTGAAGAAGGTTGTAGTATGTATGTTAAAACGTTCTTCTCCAGGCTAATAGACCTCCAATATAATGAGTGTCTAAAGTTTACAGTCTTCTGAGGGATTATTGTAGTGACACACTAAAAGAAAAGTATGTAGGAAAGTTCTGCCTGCGGGTCTCTGGGAAACATGTACATGAGGAAATATGTTATTGTTAAGTTGATACAGATAACATCTAGAGAATGCTATGACTGGTTGTTCTTTTTTCATTCTCAGCATTTAACTTAGCACGACTTTTCCTGGTCAATCATGTTCTTCAAGTGGCTGATCTACTATCAAATATCTTGATGATACTCTTGTACATTGGATTGTATTTTGGCCTGTTTTTCAGTACGGAGCTCTGAGGTTGTTGTGAACTAACTTCAAAACTTTCAAAGACATGCCAGGAAAGCAGAAGTCCTTCTGTTGGTGTTTTGGGGGACGGCCTCCAGAAATCACATACGGAATAGAAAATGGTGCCCCCCTTAAAGCTATGGCGGTCGACGTACCAATGCCAACAGATGAGGACGAACTCAACGCAAAATTTGACGAAATTGTTGTAAGTAAATATTTTGACACTATGCTCGGAAGTTGCTGTTTTTTCTATCAAATTTCTGTTATTTTCATTTTGAAGAATAGCTAAGGTTCTTTATTTAGATATTTAGAGTTATAATCTTCTGTCATAAATTTAGAAAACATTTATTCATTATACATATATCTTTTACACTTGAAAAACAATGCAAGTTTTGTCAGTTTATTTAATAGGGAAAAATAAATTTGTTTTTGCTTCAATTTTCTCCTGATTTTTTAATTCAGAAATTTTTTATGGTATCTTTTTTAACGATGGTCAAAGTTGAGAAAAACATCAGGTTTATGTTAGGAATTAGATACTAATTAATTTCAGTGTTAAAACTTATTGTCACTTGTATTGATCATAAAGTAGATAGACTGACACATCAACACAGTATTACATGTAACAATACGTAATTCTAGGTATATGTTATGCATGACCTTTCAGATTTTCAGACACAATATATCTATGTATATAAACAAATGTAAACAGATTATTCTGTTTGTCTTAATTATCTCATAGTACAAGTAGTTCACAGTTAATACTGATATTTGGGAAGAAAAGCCAGCAGGTGCTTTTTGTAAACATGATAAACTTGTGCCATAAGCTGATACTTAGGCATTGAGGTTTTCCATACCCAATTGGTTAATATACAATGATGAGATACAGTTCTGATACTGTGACCTTTAATTAATCTAACATGTGTGTTTCCATACATTTTATGTCTGCACATTTCAAGGTTAATTCAGTTCCAGATCTTGATGAAGGATGGATGAAGTAGTCAGATTGATGGGAACAGGTGTCAGGTTAGATTACTCTGGAAAAAAAAATTGGGAGGGCAATGTGCTGCAGGCGACTTTAAACCTCAAAAAGTTCGTAAATGTCATTGACTTGTGCTAAAAAAGGCCTCACAGTCAAGCAAGATGGACTACAGTAATTGAAATTTCAGGTTTTGAAAGTAATAGTTATATGAAATTTTATACAAGTATTGTATTTTGCTGAAGAGGTGAACCATTTCCAACTTTCATATATAGGTTAACCTTAGTCCATACTTATTCATATTCCATATTGTTACTGAGCGGAAAATTAAGGTGGCCCAAAGGTGACCTTGAAAGATTGTTATCGCTCCGACTTGAGAAATACTGACTGGATCTTTCTCAAATTTCATCTCTAGTTTCCCCTTGGTTCTTCAGTGTACCCTTTGCTTTTTGGGACTGATCATAAAAACAAAATGTCTGACAGATGGCCATCTTGGATTTTTATTATGAAAGTTTGGTATCACTATTTCATAGAAGGTACTGGAAGAATCATTCTCAAATTTCAGGTTCTCCATGGTCCCTAATTATGAACAAAATGATCAACAGGCGACCATCTGGGATTTGGTAGTTCTAGATTATTATCGCTATTTCTTGACAGGGATTTTCAAACTTTATATAACTAGGACCAAAAACAGGAAAGAAAAGAAAGATCCAACTTTTAAAAAGCAAATAAAGATCGAATGATGGTGGTCACCAAGATTTCCCTGGGATCTCTTGTTATGGAATTTTGATCAATACATGTAATGGAAACAAAAATCAGCAGATTTTATTTATCCAAAAACCCAAAACAAAGAATATTGCAAAGATATACATTATCAACTGATTTCATTTTTCCTTCTAATCTAGAATGTCAAAAACAAATGTAATGACTTTGAGACCATTTCTCCTAAAAGTCCTGAAAATCTAAATACCATTACTGAAACAATGTAGCACTAAGATTCTTTATGAAGGAACAGTGAACTAATTAAATATGCAGTAAAAATACAATTTTGATTAATCTCTTTCACTTTGAATTTTAATACAACTATATCCTGACTCACTTAAGTTATCTTGTAAGATGAATGTTCTTGAACATGTAAGGACATAATAGTTTGATAACAGATTGTCTACAAACTTTGTTTTCATAGAAAGTTATAGTTGAAACAAAAAACTCTACCAAATTAAAGAATTCAAAAAGCAAGAACATTTACAGCAATACTTTAGTGAAGATGCTATATAAAAGGATATTGACCATTCAGTGTTGTAAAGTTCTCCCAATGGGAGTTACATTTCTCATAACTGACAGCCACCTATATTGATGGAATGGTTTATGACGGAGCTGCAGTACAAGTGGGATGTGTGTATAAGTGTCACTGCGAGGGGCCGGAAGAGCAATAACCCATGGCCTCAGGAGATATATTTGTTGACTCACGCCTACAGTGTTGGCATTCAAAGATGTTCTACCCTACAAAAAAACACTTGAAAATTATACAAATAAAGATCCTTGTTATAGCATAAAACCTTATCTGATACTGGTCTGACCTGGGAGGAATCTCCTGTATCACACACTGTGTTGTGTCAGAAACACCACACACAGATAGATACTGGACCATCAGCTCAAATCACCACAGACAACTGCTACAGGCAACCGTTCATTGTACCACGTGTAATTGATCATTAGAGACTAATCATTAGAAGGTTATGGTAAAAAGTTTTGAGCTTCCTTTCAGACTAATTATGAAAGGGCTTTAGTAATTGGCTGATCGCCTTCAAAAGCACTGCTTCCAGAAAACCTGAATCTGTAGAGCACCAGAAGGTGTCTATGTAGAATTCCACATTTACAGGTTATATAGATTAATATACATTTAAAAGATATTCAGGAGTTGAAAATATGAATTAAAAAAATGATAACCAGTTATCATAAGTAGTTGATTATAAAGAAGTCAATTTTTTGTGTTTGTGAAATAGTATATGTAGTTAACCAGTTATCATAACTAGTTGATTATAAAGAAGTCAATTTTTTGTGTTTGTGAAATAGTATATGTAATTGTCTGATTTTGAGGGCCTAGAAATTTGAAGGTTGCTTGGTTTCGGATAAATCTCCAGGATTAAATTTGATACAACATCACCTTCAGCAACCATGTCTGCAGGCATATATTACACAATTTCTGAAATTATAAATCACTGTTAAAATTCTTTTCTGAGTATTTAATGTCATTCCACCTTTAAACACCACCAATATTAGGAACTATGCATGATGTTATCTGTAGCCTGAACTAATGGACAGCTTTACAGCATTACTGGAACTATGATACAAAGAAAAAACTTGACATGAGGGACGGTAGACAGATGATAAATCAAATGTAGACATTTTCTAGACTGTATTGGATCACTTGGCCTTTGTTAGAAATGAATAAAACAAAAACTCTTACAGTTATCTTGTTCTACCTAAAAATAGTGTTCATTGTAGAATAGGAGAAAGCCGGCAGTGTATGCCATATATATGTGGTCGGCTGCAGACACACCCTCCGAAGATGAAATCACAAACTACAAGTTTATGTAGCTATCATATTTGTTAGCTATTCTTGTGGAGTTGGCCATAAAAATCTCATCCATCACACCACAGTCATTTATACTTTATGTGTCTCATAAGGAACAGCTTATTTCTGTAAAAAAAATAGAAACGATATGTTATCTTAGGTAAAACCACCTTAATTTATTTTCCCTGTTTCATTTAATTGTTTAATTGAATGCAATTGAAAAGAAATTTGGTTCGATTCAAATACTTGGTAAAAAGATGATATTAATATTTAGATATTCCTTTGTGTGGTTATTGAAAACAAGCTCGGTTTCTTACACCAGTGATTGTAGCAAATCTATTGTAATCATTTGACAGATTGTCTACTGTTTTGACTCAACCTCTTCAGCATGCACACCAATTATTGCAAACAGTCATTGATATCTCATCCTGCTTTTTTTTAATTACACAGTTATACTTTAGAGTGCAATGTAAAGAAAAAATATTGAGAACTATCCAGAGGATACATAGATTGTTTGGTGATAAAGACCTTAATATTACAGGCGGAGTTAGATGTGGACAAACCCCACAGAGATGCCTTGTACAGTTTACCTCCGGAGAAGAAATGGCAGCTCTACTGTAGCAGGGTACAGGTGGGTGGATCAGATAACCCCTGATACTGGGAGCAAATCAGGTTCTCCTTATCTCCTATCTAATAGGGAACTCCAGATTTGACCGATCAAGCACCTGATGAAATTATGAAACAATATTATTTCTGTTTATTTTATACCTAGCATGGATTCCTTGAAATCAATCTTGGAAGGACAACTTGATAGGATATGTTTTACAACCATCTGTTGGACGGATGATATGTATAAATCATAGCAATACATTATTCCACCCTAATGTTTCTGGCATCAGGAGGATATGTCGATCATACTCTTCTTCCCATTTGAGTTTATTTTGATGCAACAACTCGGGCTTCTTGAAGTTAATTAAGCTCTTGTCTCCATACAAATATTTTTCATAGTTTCCTTAGTGTTAGAGGCAGTGGAAATTTAAAGTTTCTTCTTTGTTTAATTAAACCAAAATCCGGATTTTTACTTGGATTTTATGACAACAGGTGAAAAGACCAAGTCATTATTAAAACAAAAACAAATAGAAAATGGTATTGAACAATTGTCCTCAGTCAAAACAAGCCTTAATTTCATTATTTTATGCTGGAGTTTTATACCTCAAATAACTTTTTAAGTGTAAAAGCCAGTGTCCTTTTCAAAATTGTTTTGAAAAATATCTCTTCTTGTAAAAATTGACCAGTTGTTGAGATCACTATTAATTAGGATAATAGAGACAGTTTTTATTCAAGTGGTCCAGCTAAATTAATCCCAAATGTCTTACTAGGCCACCTTTTGCTTGCTGAGATATATATATATGCCTGACATCTTCATTTTCTTGGCTGAAATAGATGGGCATTTTATACAGAGCTCCATTGTGAAACTATACTGCTTTGAATTGGTGGGTTTTTTTAAGGTCAAAGGTCAATGTCTTTGTTTTCAGACAATGTTTATTTTTCTTGTGTCTACCTAACACAATTATTTTGAAAAGACTTTATAAAGTTCTTGCTTCAGATTGATTTTCCTGTCCAAGAAATCCATCACTGTCATCAAAATATTACAACAGTGTGCCCACTTGATACATTATAGTTACACAAATATGCTTGATTTAATACCAGTTTTTAAAATCAATAAAAGTTGAATAATATTTAATTGATTGTAATGTGATCAGCTGTTTTATATTTGTCTCATGTATTAATGAACAAGATGATGCCTAGGAAATCAATTTCACACTGACGTGATGATCAAAACACAATTCCAATATTGTACTGCTTTTAAGGAGTTTTTTTCACTATTTTTAACAGTGGAATTAAATTGTGAAAATTGATCACTTAATTGCAAAAAAAGTCAGTTTTAAGATTATTTTACACAATAAATTCATTTTGCTTTCAGTTTACAATAAAGCAGAGAAAAGGTTAACCTAGATAAAAATACAATCTTTAATTAATATTATCAGATAACTATAGATTTTTCTGATAAGCATGACAGCATTATGAAATATGAGCTTGTCAAGGGCTCTGTAATTACAATAATGTCATATATTCATTTGTTTGGAAATAATTAATTCAAATAGTAAATATGTGTTCAGGTTGACATATGAAATATTACTCTATTGATCAGCTTTTGATTTATCTGATGTAATTAGTGCTCAGCATCAGTCTGTGATCTAAATACCACTTATGTGTTTGTTTCAGGACAGAGACAATACCTCAGCAGACAGCTATGTAGACAAAATCAAAGCATTATCTCCTGTAAGTGTTCACTAATCCTCCCACATCTGGGATAGAAAGGGATTCCATACACCAAGGCTCATTATTTTGTCTGTCAGAGTTTTTACTTTAACATTGAAACATCAAGATATATAACAATTAAAACAACAATTAATTAAACATGTTTTTTAATTGATGAATATTTTTAATTGTTGTAAAATTTGTCAGTATTGGAATTATAGAATTTTAGCAAAGTTTTTTATTTCAATAGTGATGAAATGTGGATTAAAGGTTCTCCTATTCCACTTCTGAAATAATATTTAATGATAATATTTAATGATAATACATCTCTTCATGTTCTTGTAGCTAGTCAGATGTAGCATATTAGTAAAACATCTACAAGTTTGATGTATTTTAACAGAATCATGTGACCTTTGACATTGAGGAAGAAGATGCTCGCCACAAACAAATGGACAATCTGAAAACTGCTCTCCGCACTCAACCAATGAGGTAAGAGGCAACTTGGAAATCTGCAATTAAATTTCACATACCTGGCAAAGATTCAGTATGCCAAAACAGCTTTAAATTCATAGACAGTATGTTAGTATTGTAGAATGGATCACTTTTGTTGCAATTGAAAGCATTTGTTTTCTACTAAATGTTGTAAAGATTTAAATAACCTATGGTCTGACCTAGCAATATTCATTCTTCAGTTTCGTGACACGATTTATTGAGTTGGATGGCCTGCAGAGTCTCCTAAACTTCCTGGAAAAGATGAACTATGAGACACTACAGGGCAACACACACACGGCAGCAATTGGCTGTATTAAGGCACTCATGAACAATTCGGTATGTGTCAGACTATATCTAACCATAATGTTTGAGTTGTACTTAAATAAAAATACAGAATTTCAAAATCATATCTTAACGACGAGAAGGTGTTACAATCTAAATCTTATTGTTGGCTTCCAGGTAATATAAGTAATATAAATTTGTATATATGTGCATGTATGCTAGTAGTGTTTCTTACTGTTAGATAGGACTAAATAAGATGGATATACTGACAGCATCTGTTGATGTTATTTTCTTTGTTTTTGTAGCAAGGAAGAGCGCATGTATTGGCCCATCCCAATTGTATCAACATCATTGCTCAGAGCTTGGCCACAGAGAACATTCGAACCAAAGTGGCCGTGTTGGAGATCTGTGGTGCTGTGTGCCTTGTTCCAGGAGGTCATAAGAAAGTTCTGGAGGCAATGCTTCATTTTCAGAAGTTCTCAGCAGAACGTACCAGATTCCAGGTAATGGCGGTTTTGTAGTTCTCAGAAAAAACCAAAGATTATTATTTCATTTTTGCTTGTCTCTTGGTTTTAAATTCAGTACTACGCATTACAGAATGTAGTATCACACAATTTGAAAGATAATTTGATAACACAATTCTATAAATTGTGACGGCTTCATATAAAAAAGTGAAAAAATGATATTTGGCCCCAGAGCCACCCTTTCACTTTATAGGGAAAACAAGTCAGATTCATTGATTGAAAGAAGGTTTTCATGTTCATGTATGGTACATCTGAGCTTTGCTACATAAATTAATTTCTTTAATTTTCCCACAGACCTTAATAAATGACCTTGATCGCAGTACCGGCATTTACAAGGAAGAAGTGAGTCTGAAGACGGCTATCATGTCATTCATCAATGCAGCACTACGATACGGATCGGGACAGGTATAATGTTTTTACTTTAGATTGTGTATTGGGATGATAGTATATCTCTTATGTAATCCTATCTTCTCCAAAGCTGAACTTTTAAATTCTAGATATTTTCAAAATATCAAATACGCTGAGGATCTTACAAATGCTTAATCAAATGGAGATTTATGATATAGACTGTGTTGATGATTCATATCAATCTGAGTGAGTTTAACACTCTTGTGAAAAGATTTTAAACATAATGTCACAGTGCAACTGTGACATAACTACCCATTCAGCATTAGACAAGTTGTGATTTGTTGTTTGACAGGAAGGTAGTGGTACTTGTCTTTTGATTTTACTGTAAGATGACCTGGTGTGGAGTTCAAGTACTGTGCACTCTTTAAATCTTCTCTACTAATACTCCAGCCCAAGTGGCAGGTTCTGACTCACTCTGAACACTTTTGGCTGATTCAGGAAGATAGTTTATTATACCCAAACAATATTAAGTTTTGTTAGGACTGCCAGGACTCCACAAATAGATTCTTTTACTCAAATAATATTTAGTTTATTCGAGTGTCAGGAATCCACAAAATATTTACTTATACCCAAATAATATTTAGTTTATAGGAGTGTCAGGAATCCACAAAATATTTACTTATACCCAAACAGTATTTAGTTTATAGGAGTGTCAGGACTCCACAAAATATTTACTTATACCCAAACAGTATTTAGTTTATAGGAGTGTCAGGACTCCACAACCCAAACAGTATTTAGTTTATAGGAGTGTCAGGACTCCACAACCCAAACAGTATTTAGTTTATAGGAGTGTCAGGACTCCACAACCCAAACAGTATTTAGTTTATAGGAGTGTCAGGACTCCCAGAATGGTTGATTGTTGGTTGATTGTTTGCTAGATTACATGTTTCTCGTCTCCATGTTTTCCTGTTACTAGTCATTGTCTCGTGTACATGTGTTGGTAATCTGGTGATGTAAGGGTTGATATACAGGAACCTTTGATAAAACATAAATTACATTCCTACTATGGACATTTTGAGCAAGTTCAAATTTATTTTCTAATTACTCCTAGGTGTTTGTAGTTAGGCTGTCATAATTCTGAAAACAGACACACTTTTTAATAGGTTAGTTTACATAAAATTCTTGCCAATGAAATTCTGTTGATCTTTCAGGACCACCTCGAGTTCCGCTTACACCTACGTTATGAATTCTTGATGTTAGGGATCCAACCAATCATTGAAAAGTTGAGAAAACATGACAATGCAACACTGGATAGGTGAGAATTGAATAATCTATTTCTCTTGTGTTACATTGATAGTACCACAATGAACAGGTGAGAATTATAGAATCTATTTCTCTTTTGTTATATAAATAGTACCACCATGTACACCATAGTAGACTGGTGAGAATTGTAGAATCTATTCCTCTTGTGTTGTATAGATAGTAACACAGTGGACAGATGAGAATTGTAGAATCTGTTTCTTTTCTGTTTAATAAACAGTACCACAATGGACAGATGAGAATATTCTGTTTTTTAATCAGCTTGTTGTTTAACATTAAGTATTGATCCTGACACCAACAGATTCAGCTTTCACGATTATTTTACCCTGTTACTTAAAAATAAAGAAATTTTCAATGATTAAAACAAAAATATTTACTGATATGGAAACAATAACTTTAACAGGTTTTAGATTTAAACTTATCAAATTTAAGGAATAAAATGCCATAGAGTCTTGCATGACTCTTTTCAGCACTTTACCTACCTTTTCAAGTGCAGCACACATGTACGTGTTTTTTATGCAATATATAAATTCACTCTATGTGTATCATGATTTTTCTTGTCTTTATAGACATTTAGACTTCTTTGAAATGATGAGAAGTGAAGATGAAAAACAAATGGCAAAGAAATTTGAAAATGTGAGTACTATATACTGGAAAATGGTATTTTCTATTTATCAAAGAGTCTTGTAAGCAAAATTGTTGATGATAAATTTTGTACTCTGTAGTAAAAGCTGTACATTTGTTAACAAATTTCCATATTTTCAATGATATGTTCAAATGAAGGCCTAACTCTATAAGAAAATGGTTGATCGAGGAGTTTCTGTACTCTTACTGATGGATATAATACTTTAAAGCTTGACCCTGATGTTCCAGGTGCATGTGGACACAAAGAGTGCTTACGGAATGTTTGATGTGTTGAGGAAGAAATTGACTATGTCTACAGCTTACTCACACTTCATGTCCCTGCTGCAGCACCTCCTCCTCTTCCCATGTAAGTAATAGCTCTTTGTGTTCCATTAAGTACAGACATAGGAGACTCTATATTAACTTGGGTCAGACATAACACAGATTCAGTATGTAATATGTAACAATGGAGGTACACTTCCAATTGTTGAAATATTTTTGTTTCCTTCCCTGAAATGTCTGATATTTGTTCTTAATTTGTTTTTTTTTTTTTTTTTTTGTTAAATGTGTACATTTATGTAAGTAAAGTTTTTCAAACATTCATTTGACTACCAAATGAATTCTGTCATTTACATCTAAAGAAAAGAGAGTGTCACTGTATTTGAGGTATAACAGATGACTTGTCAAAGCATAGCCACTATCACTCCACATTGAATGAACTGTTAAATATCACAGTTAACAAAACAATACGTAGAAAAAAACTCAGTACATCAATTTTTTCTTCCCAGTTGGTAATGACGCAAATGTGGTAGCAGTATGGCAGATTGTTGATCGGATAGTCCAGCAAGTAGCATTGCAGCAGAAAAGTGGACAGGACCCAGACTGTACAGTAGTGGAAATGAATGTCAAGGGGCTCATACGACAGTATGTATCTTAGACTTTTTAGATTGATTTAAATGAAAATTCTACATTTAGAAACTAATTTGAACCATGATTTTGAAACATTCTAAATTAATTTTATCTCAACTGAAACATACTTTAAAACATAACTTATATAGGATGTGTGAAAAGATTCTTTAAATTACAGAATGAGTAGTGAGTATGATATCAAAACATGGCAGCAAAAGATCAGAGATTTGGAGAAAACTACAGATGACCTTCAGAACAAAGTGGCCAAAAAGGAGAGAGAATGTGAAATCAAAGCTGAGGAAAAGGTGTGTAGATTTGTAAAATATTCAGGATGGAAATTTTAATTCTGATTAATACCAATAATCCAATATACGGTAACATACAAGAATTTTAAGTTTTCTGTCTTTGATTTTGTTAGGACGAACTGTCATCGACGGTGACAAGGATGAAGACTAAGTTGGAGAAGGAAATGCAGGCACAGCAGGAAATGAAACAGACAATAGCCGAATATTCTGCCCAAATAGAGGCTTTACGAAACCAGGTGAGTAGACACACACCAAATCTGTTAAAGGTGTCTGATGATAGAAGACAAGATCTTACGCTGAAATTCTTGTCAATTGTATGGAAATTAGTATAGAAAACAGTTTCATTGTTTTTTATTCAGTTATCTACTGAGAGAGGTGAGAGGCAAAAGCTGACACATCTCGTGAAGACAGGCAGTCTTCCAGATGATGCTAAGGTGGGGCTGTCAACAGCAGCTATCATGGACATAGGAACTAATGGAATATTACCTGACATTAGTTCTATTGGGGCCAAGCCTTCAGGACCTGCCCCTCCACCTCCACCAGGTCCACCACCTCCTCCTCCTCCCCCCTCTGCTCCAGGTAAACATAACACAAATTAAACTTGAGATTATACGTCATTTTGACAATTATGTTACATTTTATTTTATCTCAGAGTCCGAGTGAATCAATTTTGTTGAAGACACAAAAAGGAATTCACGATAAGGAAACTTGCTTTATATGTATCTGGTATTGTTTAGCTGAAACTTTTAACAAAACTAATTTTGATGAAGGAAAGCCTTGTTTTATATAATCAATTAATTAACAGGTGCACCACCTCCACCTCCCCCTGGTGGTGGAATCTCTAGCAAGCCATCAGGACCACGGCCTAAAAACCCAATGAAGTCATTCAACTGGACCAAGATACCAGATGTAAGTGTCGAGATGTCTGCACTGGTGATGATACTTTTGTTAAGGGAGTGAACCGTTGTAGAAGTAGGTCATGGGATGCTAGTACTTGTGATGATACCTTTGTTAAGGGAGTGAATCGCTGTAGAAGTAGGTCATGGGATGCTAGTACTTGTGATGATACCTTTGTTAAGGGAGTGAACCGCTGTAGAAGTAGGTCATGGGATGCTAGTACTTGTGATGATACCTTTGTTAAGGGAGTGAATCGCTGTAGAAGTAGGTCATGGGATGCTAGTACTGGTGATGATACCTTTGTTAGGAATTTAACCACTGCAGAAGTAGGTCATGGGATGCTAGTACTTGTGATGATACCTTTGTTAAGGGAGTGAACTGCTGTAGAAGTAGGTCATGGGATGCTAGTACTGGTGATGATACCTTTGTTAGGAATTTAACCACTGCAGAAGTAGGTCATGGGATGCTAGTACTGGTGATGATACCTTTGTTAGGAATTTAACCACTGCAGAAGTAGGTCATGGGATGCTAGTACTTGTGATGATACCTTTATTAAGGGAGTGAACCGTTGTAGAAGTAGGTCATGGGATGCTAGTACTTGTGATGATACCTTTGTTAAGGGAGTGAACCGCTGTAGAAGTAGGTCATGGGATGCTAGTACTTGTGATGATACCTTTATTAAGGGAGTGAACCGCTGTAGAAGTAGGTCATGGGATGCTAGTACTTGTGATGATACCTTTATTAAGGGAGTGAACCGTTGTAGAAGTAGGTCATGGGATGCTAGTACTTGTGATGATACCTTTGTTAAGGGAGTGAACCGCTGTAGAAGTAGGTCATGGGATGTGTGTAGTGGTGATGTGGCCCATGTTTGAGAAGCGAATCACTGCAGACTTTAGTCATGGAATGTGGTGATGAGGCCCTTTTTTGGAGACAGAAGTATTGTAGACTTTTTTGTGGCTTAGTCTATTTTAAGGAAAAGAACATTATGTTATGCTTACTATGTATCAGATTCTCAAAAACATTGTTGATCGATAAGGTAGGAAAATTATATCACTTTGAAATGTTTAAGGGATCAGATAAAAAAGTAACAGTAGTCTTTGGGGCATGTACTGATACAAATATACCATGAAATACTAGGTCAGGTGTGATCTCTTTCTGTTTGGCATGTACTGGTATACCATGAAATACTAGGTCAGGTGTGATCTCTTACTGTTTGGTGTGTACTGGTATACCATGAAATACTAGGTCAGGTGGTATCTCTTACTGTTTGGTATGTACTGGTATATCATGAAATACTAGGTCAGGTGTGATCTCTTACTGTTTGGTATGTACTGGTATACCATGAAATACTAGGTCAGGTGTGACCATGAAATACTAGGTCAGGTGTGATCTCTTATCATTTGGTATGTACTGGTATACCATGAAATACTAGGTCAGGTGTGATCTCTTATCATTTGGTATGTACTGGTATACCAGGAAATACTAGGTCAGGTGTGATCTCTTACTGTTTGGTATGTACTGGTATACCATGAAATACTAGGTCAGGTGTGATCTCTTACTGTTTGGTATGTACTGGTATATCATGAAATACTAGGTCAGGTGTGATCTCTTACTGTTTGGTATGTACTGGTATACCAGGAAATACTAGGTCAGGTGTGATCTCTTATCATTTGGTATGTACTGGTATACCATGAAATACTAGGTCAGGTGTGATCTCTTATTGTTTGGTATGTACTGGTACACCAGGAAATACTAGGTCAGGTGTGATCTCTTATCATTTGGTATGTACTGGTATACCATGAAATACTAGGACATTTCTAATTTCTTATCATTTTGGATTTAATCAAACGACTGTTTCACTTTCAGATGAAGCTAACAGGAACCATTTGGTGTCAACTGGACACAAAAAAGGTCAGTATTTGAAAGTGTTACCACTTTAGAGAGTATCTTCATATTTAAGCCATAGCACTGATGTGATGGTATGTACACCTGACTAGATCTTAGTTTAAACGTTATACTGGACCACCTCGGTAATAAAAAAAAGGTGAACAAGATATCTCATAACAGAGTTTTAGTTCATACTATCACCATGGGAAAACCTTCTTGAGTGCTGCATTTTGGTGATCATGGGTCAAAGTGAAAGTTTGAAGGTTTCAATGCAAACGGCTTTGAGAACCTTGTGTAGCTGATATCTTGTAAACCCCTCAACAGATTTGGATAATATTCACGCTGTAGTATCATACCACCAAGGTCATCTACACCTGATTAGAACTTGACAGTAAATGGTCAAGGTTAAAGGTCATTGACCACCTTTGAAATGTAAAGTTTGTGTACAAGACATCTCTAGAACCCTTTGAACAGATTTAGGATGATTACCAATAGTTACATAATTACAATGGCCACTTCATTCCCTGATCCATTGGAGGGGGTGTATCTATGTGATCCTCTGCTGTTATTGATTTTATAGATAAGAAAGAAATTGATTTTGTTTTTACTCATTGGAAATATTTACAGACTCTGAAGGTTTTAGACCTGGAGGATTTTGAGCACAAATTTTCAGCCTATCAGAAGAAACAGAATGATGATGGTGAGGACACAAACTCCACCAAGACTAAGACCAAGGAATTGTGTGTGATTGACGGGCGCCGAGCACAGAATTGTACCATATTGTTATCTAAGCTAAAATTAACCAATGATGAAGTGATGAAGGCCATTTTATCTGTGGACTCCCAGGAAGACCTCCCTAGGGATATGGTAGAACAGGTATACCCCAAAACATCAATTTCTACAACAGTTTTTAGAGGTCATTTGGAGTGGAACTCATGCACTCTCAAACACCTTCCGTTGTAGATTTACATAGACAGTTACAGTCGATCTCATCAAATATGAGTGAGCATTTAAGACTTTCAGTGGCATTTGCTCATTTTTATATGCCTGTCAATGACAGGTCATATTATTATATTTAGCAGAGTTATGCCCCATTTATTGCCAAATATGGGCATTGTGTTCAAATGCAATAACTGTTGAATTCTTTTTTAAAACTTGGCAGGCTTATTACCATGACGGGAAGTTTTTTTCATTAACAGCAGTTTGAATTGTGTTCTCATGAATACTGTTTTGATTCAACAATATTTTAAAAAGTTATTGTCTTTTGTTCTTTTCACCATTTTAATCATGCCCAGATTTCTTTTCATTTTCCACACATCTCATTAAAACGTTGTATATTTTAAGTCATTAAAACATACAGCTCTCTTGACAATTTGACTCATTATCATCATTTCAATATATTTTCAATACAACAAATCCTGAATATTTCTTGAACATGCAGCAGGTATATATTGTTCTACACTGTACTACTTGTGTTCATTATATTCTGCAGTGTTCAAATATAAAGATAATTTGCGGCAAGTCTTTGATTTTTAGTTTTAAATTATGTATGTTGACATACTATATATACATACGTACAATTTATGTAATTACATCTGCCCGGTGCAAATACTTCTGAACTGCCATGCTCATGGAACAAGGCCACTAAAAGACAAATAAACATACAAAGGTATCCTTGGCTCTTGCATTGTTGACTGACATCATGACATTGTTCTATTTCAGTTACTTAAGTTCATACCTTCTGCAGAGGAGATCCAGCTACTAGCAGAACATTCAAAGGAGGTGGATCAGTTGGCACGTGCTGACCGATTCCTGTATGAGGCCACTAGGTTAGTGACAGTTTCATCTTGTCACTAATAAGACATTGTGTTATCTTAAGGTTACCAATTGATACAAAATGATCTCCTATATATTTAGAAGTAGTCACCTAACATATACCATGTATGTCTAAATACTGGGTTTTTCTTCTTTTATTTTTAAGCTTTAGGTGAAGGGGACTCAGTTTATATTAACAATGGGTGAGACCCAATAAGGGAAACAGAGAAATTCTTTCCCTGTAGGATCATTGATCTGAATTATCCTTGGTTGAAGGGAATTCCTTTTTTTTTTTTTTTTATAAATGGTGGGTTGCATCCCCCTTGAACAAGATGGGTGCAACCCAAAATGGAAACTAGAGCAAATCTTTCTTATCCTGTAATAATTATTCCTCTCCCACCCCCCACACACACACAAAGGCAGGATGGGATGGGGCCTAGTAGGGGAAACAGAGCAAAATCTTTAAAATCCTTCGAGATTCAGTCCCAATTTGGTCAGAAGCATCCTTAGGCGAAGCAGACATTTGTATAAATGGTTTGACTGACCCCCTTGGAGCAGAGGGGTTGTGCCCAATGGGGAAATAGATATGTCCCTTTAGAATCCATTTTCCTTTCCAAATGAATATGTGATTTTGGAGAATCAGAGCATGATTTTTGTTACAGAATTTCCCATTATGAACAAAGACTGAATGCATTGTATTTCAAGAAAAAATTCCAGGAAAGAATGGGTGACATTAGGCCCAGGATAAGTGGTAAGTAATGGCAATGTCACATTTCTGTATAGCATCGGTGTGATTATCATGGTGACAGTAAGAAATAAATTTATGAAAGATTTTAGTAATATTTCATGGTGAATATATCTCGGTCACCTTCATCTTAGTCTGACAATTAAAGAAATTTAATTTTGTATGTTATGACTGTTGATCTATATCCTATATGTATATGAGCAATAAAGCACTTCCTTTTGGCTGACGATATTGATTGTTATATTTACTTCACAATTTAAAAGAGTTAACAATTATTACACTTCATATCACTATGAATGCAGTAGGAATTTGATGATCCATTAGCATTAGGGTAAATGGAAACATAGTTATCTAGTAATGTCTTCTACTACTGTAACTTGTGTGTGAAATATGATATATGCTATGTTTCCTACTGTTGTAACTTATGTGTGAGATATGACATATGCTGTGTTTCTCATTGCAGCTGTGGTGAAGTCCTCACAGGACCTTCCAACAAATAAAAAGTTTAAACAGTTACTGGAGATAGTTTTGGCCTTAGGAAATTTCATGAATCGTGGACAAAGAGGAAATGCTGGCGGGTTCAAGATAGAAAGTCTTAACAAGATGTTGGACACAAAGTCCAGTGTGAACCGGAACATCACTCTTCTTCATTATATGGTGGAAGTGATGGAGAAAAAGGTTCTTATATTTTTTCTTCAGGATAAAGCACATAACATTCTTTTTCACATTATTGCCTTAGTTATTTCGTGAACATGATCCCCATGTAATATTTTTGTGTATAACACGTGTAATATAGCCTCTTGTGATTGTCGGTTTAGATAATGAAATAATGTCACACTTTCACAGACTACTTTGTGATGTAACAATGGAGACCATGGACATAGTGCAAATTTAATGTAGAGATATTTGTTTGCTGTAATATTTGCCTGACTAACCGATTATGTGATGAAATGTATCTTGGATTAATTTTCTTTTGATTTTTGATTCATGAAACTTGTCTCAATTTGATCCATTTTACCTCATCGAAGGGTCTCTCTTGTTTATAGTTAGTAGACTTATTACATAAATCACATATGAATTGGAATCTCTTGTAAGATTTGATCAATATTAAAATTTGATGTCCACTAAGCAGTCTATAAAGCCTAAAATCTTAATGTTTAAAATAAAGCATCTTGTATATAAGGATGTGTTCTTTGTTTAGTTTCCTGCCTTATTGAAGTTAGAAGAAGACATGAGTTGTTTAAAGGTTGCTGCTAAAGTCAAGTGAGTATAAAACTTCCTGTCTACATGTTTACTGACACTTAAAAAAACGGTCAAACAATGTGTGATTGGACACCTAAAAAACAGTGTGTTAAGTTTACTGACACTTAAAAAAACAGTCAAACAATGTGTGATTGGACACCTAAAAAACAGTGTGTTAAGTTTACTGACACTTAAAAAAACGGTCAAACAATGTGTGATTGGACACCTAAAAAACAGTGTGTTAAGTTTACTGACACTTAAAAAAACGGTCAAACAATGTGTGATTGGACACCTAAAAAACAGTGTGTTAAGTTTACTGACACTTAAAAAAACGGTCAAACAATGTGTGATTGGACACCTAAAAAACAGTGTGTTAAGTTTACTGACACTTAAAAAAACGGTCAAACAATGTGTGATTGGACACCTAAAAAACAGTGTGTTAAGTTTACTGACACTTAAAAAAACGGTCAAACAATGTGTGATTGGACACCTAAAAAACAGTGTGTTAAGTTTACTGACACTTTATATACTTCAGGATGGTGTGATATTTTTATGGATACTTAAAGTACTGTAGGAAAGGATATTAAGTTTATCAACCCCTTACGTACTGATGGACATTGTGTTAAGTTTACCTACACTTTTAGTACTGAAGGACATAGTGTTAAGTTTACCAATACCTTAAGTACTGAAAGATATTGTGTTAAGTTTACCAATACCTTAAGTACTGAAGGACATAGTGTTAAGTTTACCAATGCCTTAAATACTGAAGGATATTGTGTTAAGTTTACCAATACCTTAAGTACTGAAGGACATAGTGTTAAGTTTACCAATACCTTAAGTACTGAAGGATATTGTGTTAAGTTTACCAACACCTTAAGTACTGAAGGATATTGTGTTAAGTTTACCAATACCTTAAGTACTGAAGGATATTGTGTTAAGTTTACCAACACCTTAAGTACTGAAGGATATTGTGTTAAGTTTACCAATAGCTTAAGTACTGAAGGATATTGTGTTAGGTTTACCAATAGCTTATGTACTGTAAGACATTTTGTTAAGTTTACCTACACCTTAAGTGCTGAAGGACATTGTGTTAAGTTTACCAATACCTTAAGTACTGAAGGATATTGTGTTAAGTTTACCAATACCTTAAGTACTGAAGGATATTGTGTTAAGTTTACCAATAGCTTAAGTACTGAAGGATATTGTGTTAAGTTTACCAATACCTTAAGTACTGAAGGACATAGTGTTAAGTTTACCAACACCTTAAGTACTGAAGGATATTGTGTTAAGTTTACCAATAGCTTAAGTACTGAAGGATATTGTGTTAGGTTTACCAATAGCTTATGTACTGTAGGACATTTTGTTAAGTTTACCTACACCTTAAGTGCTGAAGGACATTGTGTTAAGTTTACCAATGCCTTAAGTACTGAAGGATATTGTGTTAAGTTTACCAATACCTTAAGTACTGTAGGACTGAAGGATATTGTGTTAAGTTTACCAATACCTTAAGTACTGAAGGATATTGTGTTAAGTTTACCAACACCTTAAGTACTGAAGGATATTGTGTTAAGTTTACCAATACCTTAAGTACTGAAGGATATTGTGTTAAGTTTACCAATACCTTAAGTACTGAAGGACATAGTGTTAAGTTTACCAACACCTTAAGTACTGAAGGATATTGTGTTAAGTTTACCAATAGCTTAAGTACTGAAGGATATTGTGTTAGGTTTACCAATAGCTTATGTACTGTAGGACATTGTGTTAAGTTTACCTACACCTTAAGTGCTGAAGGACATTGTGTTAAGTTTACCAATACCTTAAGTACTGAAGGATATTGTGTTAAGTTTACCAATACCTTAAGTACTGAAGGATATTGTGTTAAGTTTACCAACACCTTAAGTACTGAAGGATATTGTGTTAAGTTTACCAATAGTTTAAGTACTGAAGGATATTGTGTTAGGTTTAGCAATAGCTTATGTACTGTAGGACATTTTGTTAAGTTTACCTACACCTTAAGTGCTGAAGGACATTGTGTTAAGTTTACCAATACCTTAAGTACTGAAGGATATTGTGTTAAGTTTACCAACACCTTAAGTACTGAAGGATATTGTGTTAAGTTTACCAATAGCTTAAGTACTGAAGGACATAGTGTTAGGTTTACCAATACCTTAAGTACTGAAGGATATTGTGTTAAGTTTTACCAATTGTGTTAAGTTTACCAATAGCTTAAGTACTGAAGGATATTGTGTTAAGTTTACCAACACCTTAAGTACTGTAGGACATTGTGTTAAGTTTACCAACACCTTAAGTACTGAAGGATATTGTGTTAAGTTTACCAATAGCTTAAGTACTGAAGGATATTGTGTTAAGTTTACCAATAGCTTATGTACTGTAGGACATTGTGTTAAGTTTACCTACACCTTAAGTACTGAAGGACATTGTGTTAAGTTTACCAACACTTTAGGTACTGAAGGACATTGCGTTAAGTTTAGCAACATCTTAAGTACTGTAGGACATTGTGTTAAGTTTACCAACACCTTAAGTACTGAAGGACATTGTGTTAAGTTTACCTACACCTTAAGTACTGAAGGACATTGTGTTAAGTTTACCTACACCTTAAGTACTGAATGACATTGTGTTAAGTTTACCAACACTTTAGGTACTGAAGGACATTGTGTTAAGTTTACCAACACCTTAAGTACTTTCAGACTGTGTGCTGTCAAATACTGTGATTATTTATTTTTGATAATTAAGTATTGCAGGACAATATGTTAAAATCTTAAACTTCCAAATCATTTGAAACAAAGACTGTGATTTTTGAAGATGTTGAAATTAATGTTTTTTCTTGCAAGTTATTTATCACCGATGAAAGTGACAAAAATGTTGGTTAAATAAGTGGTTAATATGAAATATAGCAACAACATAACTACTTATCTTTATGTATTAAAAGAGTAATATATATATCATGTGTTTACAGTTAGTATGGCAGCTGAGCTGGGTAAGGATATTGTAACAATGTAAGATTTTGCTTTACTTTTAGTTTGGCGAGCTTGATAAGAATATTGTAACACTAAAAGATATGTAATTTCTCTACTTTTAGTTTGGTGGAGCTGGATAAGGATATTGCTGTGATAAAAGCTGGCCTAGAAGAAATAGAAAAGGTATATTGCTTTATTGAAATCTTCAGTACTCGGCACTTGAGTGTATGAAACCACTACATATATTATATAGATAAATATTAAGAGCTTGAACAGTGCAAATGACTAATTAGCTTATACCATTACATTGCATCTCTGTCTGATGTAAGGCAAAATTTTGTCTTCTTGAGATAAAAAAGTAGAAGTGAGACTACAGTGTTAATATGTTTCTGTTAGATCAGTCTCTAACAACATTTATACTAGAGCAGCCAAATTTGGTTTATAATATGTAGTTGAATCATAGGGTGTACTGGTCAAATCAGGCTGAAAATTAAGTTTTATTATTTCTGTGCATGAAATAAATTTTGATGAAAACTAATAAGAACTCCTTTAAAAATATTCTAATTTTTGTACACACCTTACATAAACAAAGCGCTTTGACATATAAAATGGATATTTTGTTTTGGCCCATTTAGTTGAATTTAGCTGTAAGGAAATTTTAAACAATACAGGAAACTACTCTAACAGATAACTATTGTTGTCAGCAAATTAGTCATTTTGCAGTCACAAATTCTGATTTTTATAATTTTTTTTTTTTGCAAATATTTAATTACAAGATACCTATTTACAATTTCAGGAACTGGATTATTTCCGAAACCAACCTTCTCAGGATAGACGTGACAAATTTGTGAATGTGATGAATGACTTCATTTCTGTGGCTTCCTATAATTTCTCTGAGGTGGAGGAACACCGAGACGAAATGCTTCAGAAAGTAAACATTAAAGATGCATTATCGTTAATGTGGAGTTAAAAACCATAACTGTCTCTAGTTTTACACAGAATCAGTACACTTACAATATTTATGTTCCGATTTTTACATCACTCTCAATAACACTACAAGTCCTACTATGAATTTACTGACTTAGGAAATTCTGACATGTGATACATGTACTTTGTTTCATTTAATTCATATAAATTCCTATTTTCATTTAAAATATAAACCATTTTGATTGGGGTATTTGGAAAATAAAATATTCGGAGACTGATGTAGGCTGTGTTTGATAATGGATTTAAACTAAGTGTAATTTTTTGTGGTTTCAGTACAGTAAAACATTGAAGCAGTTCAGTGAGGAGGAAGCCTATGGTAGCAAACCCGATGAGTTTTTCAGCATTATAGATTCATTTCTTTTCTCTCTAACTGAAGCCAAGACAGAGAACGAGCGAATAAGAAAACAAAAAGAAGAAGAGGAGAAAAAAGCTCTTTTTGAAGAATCTGTAAGTCTTATGTTTATTTTGTTATATTTGAAATAAAAATTATGGCTATTTCATGTCTAAAACAGCCCTGTAATATATCATTACATATGACTAAGAGATCTTGCTTTTGTTATGGACAAAAGATATAAAAACAACACCAAAATCTTCTTCTGTGATGTTCTAACACACCTTTGTAAAGCTCGATGATAACAATAGCTACAAAAAACAAAAACTAGTCTTGTTGGTTTTTCCAATTTTTATCAAATTAAAGATCTCAATTTTTAACTTGAATGTTGAAGACATAATGAAATGTACAAAATGTAAATAGGAAATGTGAGAATTTTCATTCATGAAAAAATAGCATGTTTTTTAAATTAAGGTGAGAAAGAGTGTCATTTGATACGCCTAGTATACATTATACACAATGATGTACCTGTTACAGATAAAGAAGGAGCGTGAGAGACTTCGGAGTAGGAGAGCTGACAGCCCAATCCGAAATGGTGTGGAGGCAAAGAAATCTAACAAAGGTAGGGAAGTATTTGGTTTTAAGTTCATCACATTTCCTGTGGGATTTCATACTGGTTTTCATTAATTTTTTCTCAAAAGCCTGAACACAATAGTCAGTGATGGTACAATAATAACTGATATGATGAGATATCATATTGATTGTGACACATGACATGTACAGACATCTCTGATAATACTGTGATATGTCTCCAAAAATGATAACCGAAATGCTGAATAAAGATGATGTATTTTTTATAAGAAATCTGCCTTACTTTCATGAACTGAGTCTAACATGCATCCTGTTAAATAACTCATTTGCATTAAACTCTGGATGTGTTATGTGTAATATTGTCTTTTCATATTGCAGGTGAATTTGATGAGCTTATATCGGCACTAAGAACAGGTGATGTGTTTGGTGATGAATTCAAAGCCAGGCGAATCAGGAAGAAACAAACACCTAACAAAGATGACACAAGGGAGAGAACTGGTCCAGTGTCATAGCAATGTTTACAGGGGAGACAACTCGTATTGATGAGTGTTCATAAGTTCAAATGGAGATGAAAAAGGAAAATTTTTATTTGTTCACTTTCGTTTAAAGAAATTGGCCATAGAAGCTACTCTGCATGATTCTGTGTCTGGTTGGTGAATCAAGAGTAGATGGTACATAAATCTCCATTGAATCAGGTTGGCTGAATTAGGGAATTGTTCATATGTTTTTATGAACTTACTTATTTCTTTGGCTATGCTATAAATGAGACTGTCATGCGACTTTGAGGGGTTATAAAATTATCGAGACTTAAAAGCTAATATTTCAAACTTCACTTGGAAGATTTTTCCACCTAGAAACATTAAGATAGGAATGATATTAAAAAAATTTGATAGACATTTGAATTCGCAAGTGTGTGATTAAATCAAAAAAAAGAAAGAAAGAAAAGAAATTGTTACATTACCCCAAGAATGAATGTGTTACACATATGTGAGTTACAAGTCTTTTCTGTAAGATGATAAATTGAAATTATTTTCATGGACAAGATCAGAATTGGAGTTAATATGAGCAGCTCAAGTGAATTGCATACTGTGGTAAAATATCCAGTAAGTAACTGTTTGTTTTCTATTTAGCGCTGTGGAATCTCTTTGACAAAAGCTGGAGCAGATCTGATTAGTGTGTGGTCTATGTAACACATGAGAAAAGTCCCATATCCTACAACCAAAATCAAATGTGGCTAGTCACTTAGAGAAAAATTATTTCAACCAGTTTATAGAATTTCCAGAGGACAGCATTCCATGAGACAGACCCAGTTGTGAGGTTAGAGAGGACACCATGTATTCTGATAGGATTGTGTGACTGTCGTGATATATAGATAAAGTAAGAGAGTACTCAGTACATTCTGATAGGACTGTGGGGAATCAGAATGTAAAGATGAAGTTAGAGAGCACACTCAACATTCTGATAGGACTGTGGGGAATCAGAATGTAAAGATGAAGTTAGAGAGCACTCAGTACATTCTGATAGGACTGTGGGGAATCAGAATGTAAAGATGAAGTTAGAGAGCACACTGAACATTCTGATAGGATTGTGGGGAATCAGAATGTAAAGATGAAGTTAGAGAGCACACTGAACATTCTGATAGGACTGTGGGGAATCAGAATGTAAAGATGAAGTTAGAGAGCACACTAAACATTCTGATAGGACTGTGGGGGATCATGATGTAAAGATGAAGTTAGAGAGCACTCAGTACATTCTGATAGGACTGTGCGGACTGTCGAATGATAATAGATAAAGTTAGTGAGCACACGGTACATTCTGATAGGACTGTGGGGAATCAGAATGTAAAGATGAAGTTAGAGAGCACACTGAACATTCTGATAGGACTGTGGGGAATCAGAATGTAAAGATGAAGTTAGAGAGCACACTGAACATTCTGATAGGACTGTGGGGAATCAGAATGTAAAGATGAAGTTAGAGAGCACACTGAACATTCTGATAGGACTGTGGGGAATCAGGATGTAAAGATGAAGTTAGAGAGCACACTCAACATTCTGATAGGACTGTGGGGAATCAGGATATATAGATGAAGTTAGAGAGCACACAGTACATTCTGATAGGACTGTGGGGAATCAGAATGTAAAGATGAAGTTAGAGAGCACTCAGTACATTCTGATAGGATTGCGTGACTGTCGTGATATATAGATAAAGTTAGTGAGCACACGGTACATTCTGATAGGACTGTGGGGAATCAGAATGTAAAGATGAAGTTAGTGAGCACACTGAACATTCTGATAGGACTGTGGGGAATCAGAATGTAAAGATGAAGTTAGAGAGCACTCAGTACATTCTGATAGGATTGCGTGACTGTCGTGATATATAGATAAAGTTAGTGAGCACACGGTACATTCTGATAGGAGAGCACTCAGTACATTCTGATAGGACTGCAGGGAATCAGAATGTAAAGATGAAGTACTATGAGATACTAGAGGATACACCATGAATATCCTGTGAATTCTAGACAATGATTTATTAATGTTAGGTGTTGTTATCTAAAGTAAAAATGACCACCATAGTATATAGAGATAATGGTTTCTTCGTACAGATGGACCTTGAATTCCTGATGACCAGTTAAATGATAGCAAGATGTGTAATCAATAAATAACATGCATTGTGTGAATAAGTGACTGTTTCTACTAGTAGCTTCCTAACAGTTATTTCTGTTAGAGGTTCTTTAACAAAGACTCGCCTTAATAGGCTTCTTTTTCACACCAACTTTCCCTGCAGTAGTTGACCAAACAAGTGTTTCTGTAAGTTTTCCAACACAGATTTGCCTTGTTCCTGTTGCCCTCAAAAGCATAGAAATTCTTATTTCTGTTAATGTGTTTTGCATCTCAGACTTGTTCTGAAATAGTTTCTCAACAGGCATAGTAATGAAAGTTGTTGGGAAGTGATTCCGAACAAAAAATAGCTCTGTAGTAGTTTCTGAAACAGAAAGGACAGTTCTGATGGGTGAGATTTGGCCTGTAGTAGTTGCCCACATAAGTAAAGAAAATGCTAGCCAGAAAGAGTTTGTATTTAATGGCTAGACTGAAAATTACAGACCTCAAGGAAGATGGCATAAAAATACTGTATGTATTTCGTACTGTTATTGTTACAGCCTGTAGTACAAAAAGTGCTCAACACTTTTAAGTGTACTCATCAATAGACAAGACAAGGCTACTCGAGTAAATAACGTGGTTTTAACTTTCAATTTATTTAATGTTGGATCCATCATCACAGAAAATTAAGTGCAACTAACGAAATTGTTGTAATTACATTTGATCTGAATATTACTAAATTCCTGGTAGCTTAAGTAGGTAGCTTAAGTAGCAGATGTTAAATCATGCACCATTTTAAGATTGTTTATTAGAGATACAGTGACTGGGCTGCTAGTGGTCTAAAAGATCGTATATAGATACAGTGACTGGACTGCTAGCGGTCTAAAAGATCGTATATAGATACAGTGACTGGACTGCTAGTGGTGTAAAAGATCGTATATGTATACAGTGACTGGGCTGCTAGTGGTGTAAAAGATCGTATATAGATACAGTGACTGGACTGCTAGTGGTCTAAAAGATCGTATATAGATACAGTGACTGGGCTGCTAGTGGTGTAAAAGGTCGTATATAGATACAGTGACTGGACTGCTAGTGGTCTAAAAGATCGTATATAGATACAGTGACTGGACTGCTAGTGGTCTAAAAGGTCGTATATTGATACAGTGACTGGACTGCTAGTGGTCTAAAAGATCGTATATAGATACAGTGACTGGACTGCTAGTGGTCTAAAAGATCGTATATAGATACAGTGACTGGACTGCTAGTGGTCTAAAAGATCGTATATAGATACAGTGACTGGACTGCTAGTGGTGTAAAAGATCGTATATGTATACAGTGACTGGGCTGCTAGTGGTCTAAAAGGTCGTGTATAGATACAGTGACTGGGCTGCTAGTGGTGTAAAAGGTCGTATATAGATACAGTGACTGGGCTGCTAGTGGTGTAAAAGATCGTATATGTATACAGTGACTGGACTGCTAGTGGTCTAAAAGATCGTATATAGATACAGTGACTGGGCTGCTAGTGGTGTAAAAGGTCGTGTATGTATACAGTGACTGGGCTGCTAGTGGTCTATATAGATACAGTGACTGGGCTGCTAGTGGTCTATATAGATACAGTGACTGGGCTGCTAGTGGTCTAAAAGATCGTATATAGATACAGTGACTGGACTGCTAGTGGTCTAAAAGATCTAAAAGTGACTGGACTGCTAGTGGTCTAAAAGGTCGTATATAGATACAGTGACTGGACTGCTAGTGGTGTAAAAGGTCGTGTATGTATACAGTGACTGGACTGCTCGTGGCCTATACCTTTATGTATCCCCTAACCAGTATTATAAAAATAACGTGTACGACTATGTAGCAGCTGTTGTAAATTTGGTGAATGTGATTCTGACAACTTTACAGTCAATAAGTTAACATTAATTAGAATGGAGTCCCTCATTAACGTACATATATATAAAAAATGTGCAATAACAATCATTTCTGTAAATATTTCAACATGTTTTTTTTAGTCATACTTCATTTTAGAAGTGCGGCGTATTCATAACACTGGTAAAGTTTCCAAACGATTTCTGTGAACAGAGGCCGTTAAATAAACACCTGAAGTGGGTAGTGTTCTGGGTAAATAGTAGTATTTATAGACAATGCTGTCATTATCGGTTGGTTTACTAAGCTACTGTTTCTTCTTAAAATAGAGACAGCTGACTATTATTTGAGGAGTTGGTCGATAATGATTGATACTTCCTTGTTAGTGATTTGAGCCTTACGTAAATGTAGGCGTGTTTATTTGAATACGTGAACATATTATTTATAACCTAATGATACATTACTGCAAAAACACTTGTATGACTAGATTATAATGATACTCCTACATGCTTATTGCGTTTAAATGTTTCTAGTTATGTGTTATAAGTGACAAAATGCTTTCAGTTTAGTGTTTAAAAGTGGCGACTTTATAGATATGTGAGTCATATAAATGTCCACTATCGGTTTAGCTTACAGCGCGTGGTCCGTGGCTTCATTGGTAACTATGTGTAGGTTATAGCCAATATACAGTGTTGTGATTGGTGTCTTAATGTGTGACCTTTATGAAGGTCAACAGCTATTGTTACTGTGGTCGTTATTACTTTTCACATCATGTTAATTTCATACTGTATTACAAGAAGAGGTTACAATGTAGCACGTCAAGTATGGACGCTAATAAGTTTATATTTATGCAAGAAGACGCAACAGTTATATTGCTTCAGTGATAAGGCTATAGAGACCTGTATCACGTATAGTATTTCTTCATAGGATTGAAATATCATGACAATATACACCTTCAGAATTAAAAGATTATTTGTAGACTACACGAATTGACAAATAAATACTAACGTAAATTTAAAGTGGCACACCCGGCTGTTATCTGGCTGTGGTTACGATACGTGATCGTCCGGCTGTTATCTGGCTGTGGTTACGATACGTGATCGTCCGGCTGTTATCTGGCTGTGGTTACGATACGTGATCGTCCGGCTGTTATCTGGCTGTGGTTACGATACGTGATCGTCCGGCTGTTATCTGGCTGTGGTTACGATATGTGATCGTCCGGCTGTTATCTGGCTGTGGTTACGATATGTGATACTCACCAACTATCCTTCATTATTCCCCTGTCTTTAGACGTTTTTCTTATAATGTTTGTTATTTTTGTTGTCGTGTGACAATGTCGTAAATGTTGACTATCTTCTATGCTGTGTATATACAATAACAAGGTATAAATTGTATGAAATCA